CTATGCTGGAATTCTTAAAAAAGAATTTGTTGGTGGTTTTGTCCTTCACTATTGTTGAAAAAGCCTTAGATACACCACAGATCTTGGATATATGCAGATCAATATGGACTAAATAATGAATTCCATAAATGTGGGAAAGTTGGAACAAATCTTGTTACTAGTTTTAGAAATGCAAAGATAAATAATAGATTAAATGGATCTGCTTGGTGTTACTTGAGCTCATTTTGAGAGTTCAAGTCATGCAAAGATAGAGAGGAAGGCCATATTTGTTGTTCTGCGTCCTGGAGAGGACATAAGCCAGTTTACTACCTTAATGTGTCTTGCATACTGTCTGTGAAGATGTTACATGGTTTAATATCACTCAAAAAGTGCCATAGCCTGGTTTTCCCCTACTTCTTTCTCCCTTCCACCCCTTTCCCCAACCCCCTTTTTTTTGTTGCTTTTCTGGGATTAGGAAGTCTTTCACTTTTGAATGATTGGTTTCAATCTAAATAAACGATGGTCACTGCTATTTTTGGACTCTTCTTGATTGCTTCTGTGAAAAGAATTCATGGCTCAGGTTCATTTCCAAAGGGAGAGATGCTAACAAGGGCTATGGGTATAGAATAAAAGCTAACAACTACATGTATCTAGAAACAGCACTCCTGGTCACCAGTCTGTTTTCTTCCTGACAGTGATCACAGCATTGCCAATGTTACCACAGTGGGCTGCTGAAAAACGGTGGTTTTCTTTTAAAAAGGAATAAAACTCCCTTCAGAAAATGTTCATAATAATGGCTTATCTGTCTTGCCTCGCCTGATGTTGTGCCATACATTTCACTTTTGCACTGACTTCTCCAGCTATTGCAGATTGGTCAATGACCTCAGCCTTCGCTGTCTTAAAATCATGTGTTTTTATCTTATCTGTGACAGATTTAATGTTAACTTCACTGGAATATGATTTTGTCTTTCCATGGGGGCAGCTGGAGTATAAATCATGTCATATAATGAGCAAGGACAGTCTAACACCAGAAATGTAGAAGATCCAAAGCTTGCACTTAGATAGCTTCTTTAGTTTGAGGATTTAAGTATTTGCCATGTATTGTTATATCTAAGGCAAACACTACAGTGCATTTGGAAGAGGCAGTAGCAAGCCTGACGACCTTCTGTTTCTATGCTATATCACTTCTCACTGTGTAATAAGTTGATAGTTGTGCAAAAAATGAACTATAATGTTTAAATATTTATAAAATATCATTGTGGAAGTGCAGCTAGAGGTTCCACATTTAGGGCTTAAAATCAATTTTGAACTGGAAGCAAGGATGAAGCTACTTTATTAAATGTGAATAACAGTGTATTCACACATGAATTACAGCACTTGCTCTTTCAGCACATAATTAATTTCCCTA